TGAGTGGAGAATCCAGGTAGAGGCTGTAACACACCGTTGGCCACACTCTCAAACCCCATCACCCCACCCCATCCCTCTCACAGAATTTGGCTTTCTTGCTCCTCCGTGAAAGAATGTATTTCAGAGAAGGCTGGCCCCAGCACCAGGAAATAAGTCCTGCATAGGCAGAATAATTCAGGCAGTCCTTCCAGGGGTTGGTTTCAGCATGGGTGTGTACTGGACCACTTGCCTAGGGAGACACAGGGGGATTCTGCTAGAGAAACACAAGGAAAACAGGAGGAGCCTTTTTCATGCCTCTTGATGTTTTCGGGTCTGTGTATGATGTCTAGGCATTTTCCAGGTGGCCCTAGTGATAAAGAACCTGCCTGCCAAGGCAGGAGATGTAAAAGATGTGGGTGCAATCCCTTGGTCAGGAAGATCCCCTGGAGAAGGGCATGGCAACCCACTCCAGTATTCTTCCCTGGAGAATCCCGTGGACAGAGGAGCCTGGCAGGCTACAGTCTGTAGGGTTGCAAAGACTCAGACATGACTGAAGTGACTTAGCACACACGCATGATGTCCAGAACGGCTCCAGCCAGTCTGCCATCAGGCCGCGGGTAAGGCTGACCAATCAGGCGTACAGAACCAAAACAGCGCAGAGAAGTGGCCCTATGTATACTGTCTCCGGAACCACTTTAGATTCCTTAATACAGAGAAAATAAATAGACTTATTATTCAAGCCAGTAGGCTCAAAGTTATATAATACTTAAAGCCAAACACTTGCTGATGGATAAGAGACCATTACAGCTCTCCAGGCAAAGGGTAATTAAGGCCTGAGTTAAGACAGTGTCCTCAGGAACAGAATGAATTGAATACATTTGAAAGGCAATTTAAGCATAGAGTCGGATTCTCAGATTTAGCAAAGGAAACTAAAGGCACACAGTTAAATTTGAATTCCAGAAAAACAATGAATCCTGTGTGCTCAGTCGCCTATAACACTTTGCAAGCCCATGGACTGTAGCTGCCAGGCTCCTCTGTCCATGGGATGGATTATGCTGGCAGGAATACTGGTGTGGGTTGCCATTTCCTCCTGCAAGGGATCTTCTAGGCCCAAGGATCAGACTCACATCTTCTGTGGCTCCTGCATTGCAGGCGGATTCTTTACCACTGAACCACCTGGGAAGCCCAAGCAATGAATATGTTAATATAAATACGTGTTGTGCAACTTTCAAGACATACTTATGCTAACGTATTATTTGTTGCTTCTCTAGAATTCAGATTTAACTGGGTGTCCTGTATTTTTGTCTGGCAACTGGAGCGTAGAGCCTTCAAGACTAAACTACGGATTTGATGTGAGAAAAATAGCAGCAAAAAGAAGTTACAGATGCCTCTGAGGTTGTTAGCCTGAGTCACTAGGAGCCTTGGGATACTACTATATACAAGAAGGAGAAGTAAAGGCATTCTGTGGAGAGGATAAACATTTAATTGGGAATTTGTGGTGAGGGAGATAGTCATCATGTTATCTTAGAATAGTAATTCTCAAGCAAGGGCATTCTGCCCCCAGGGGATATCTAGCAATATCAGGAGACCCTTTTGATTGTCACAATTTAGGTGTGGGGGCGGGAGGGCAAATGCTATTGACATCTACTGGGTGAACAGCCTACAATGTTGTTGAACATGTTACAACACACAGCAAAGCATTATCCCGCCCAGAGTGTCAATAGCAGTGAAGTCGAGAGACCCTACTTTAGAGGAGGGGTAAAAGGGATGCTTTTAAGATTTGTATATTGTCTGCATTAGATTTTGATAATCTGATTTCTTTCTCTGTTCAGCAAGCATTTACTGGGCGTCTAATGTATAGGAGACTTGTTGCCACAAACAAGGGGAGGAACAAAATACAGTAGGATATTTCCAGAAGCTCAGCCTACCAGCGGACACAGTTGTGTAAAAGTGTCTGGATAAAAGCAACCTGTGAGTAAACTGGGCTTCTCTGGTGGCTTACTGGTAAAGAATCTGCCAGCCGATACAGGAGATGTGGGTTTGGTCCCTAGGTTGGGAAGAGCCCCTGAAGAAGGAAATGGCAGTCCAGTGGATTCTTCACTGAAGAATCCATGGACAGAGCAGCCTGGTGGGCTACAGTCCATGGGGTCGCAAAGAGTCAGACATGACTTAGCTGCTAAAAAGTAACAACAAAGTAAATGGAAGAAAACATACTTTTATGTAAATTTGAGAAACTGCAATAAGGTTGCTGCTTCCCCAAAACACGATCTCCAGAATGTTAGTCTGGCAGATACTCAAGCTATGAGGCAGTCAGAGCTTTCTTTATCCCAGAAAAACATCATGCAGCTATATACCTTAACCACAGTCTGGAAGAAAATTACTATGGATTGCATTTTAGGCTCAGAAAGGCAGGCAGAAGCACCTGTGCCTAGCATCCTCCTAGTCCTGTCATTTGTCAACTCACTTATTATTCACAAAAGCAGAGTGAGGTGATGATCAGCATAGGCATTTTACAGGTGAGAAGATGGAGACTCAGAGAAATTGCATAATATGTCAAGTATATCTTTAGAGATCCTAGCACCCTCCCTTTTCAGATTGTTTTCCCTTTTTAATGCTTGTGTTTTTACCTGCTTTAGCTAACTAAGCCTATGTTCCAAATCTCAAAAAATAATAGTTGGGGAAAAGAGAACTAAACTGTGCAGTTACACAACCAGACTAACATTGGAATAACATTGCAAGAATATTCCAATAATGATGGAATATTATTCAGCACTAAAAAGAAAATGAGCTACCAAGCCATGAAAAGACATAGAGGAATCTTGTCTTAGCCCACCAGGCTCCTCTGTCCATGGGATTCTCCAGGCAAGGATCCTGGAGTGGGTTGTCATTTCCTCCTCCAGGGGATCTACCCACCCAGGGATCAAACCCACGTCTCCTGCATTGGGGGGTGGATTCTTAGCACCGAGCCACCTGGAAAACCATAGAATAATGGCGGATACATGCTATTATCTATTTGTTTAAAGTGAAAGGGCTCCTTGAGGAGTTCTGCTTGAAAAAACGGTACATCCCCCTTCAGTGTGTCCCTCAGGCTGTTGATCCTTTGTATTTGTCCGCTTTTAGTGATGAAGCCTCAGCCCTCTGTTTTGTGAAAGAACATTTTCCCTTGAGACTTCACACATTCATACATCCTCTCTGGAAGCATACAGCTAAGAGGCAGTGGGTGGAACATGGGCAAGCTGTGGATTTTGAACTCTCCTGATTGATGGATGAATATAAGTGTAAAGTGTAAGTCACATCAATGGACTAAACTTCAGGTTCTTCATCTTTAAAATGGAGCTGATATTGATAATTATATTTAATTTCTCATTATCGTCTGACTATTGTGCTAGAGAGCAAGGTCCGCAAATTCAGGAATAATGTCTATTTTTTCTTCCGTATCACTTCCATGGTACTGGCACAGAGCAGATGCTAATAACGATGCATTAGGGGAATGGACAGATGAATACATGATGGAATGACACCACCTGGTGTGTAGGGTGATTGTGAAGCCTGGACAGCCAGTGTAGACAGTAATGCCAGGTGTCTCCTTTCTATAGCCCTGTGAATCTGTCTTTTCACTGGAAGCAATCCTTAACTGCCACCAGGAGAATTACTCCCGGCAATTAAGAAAAACCACAGACATCCAGACAAAGAGAGATTTCAGGTCTCTGTTCTTTCCTAACTGCACATTGGAGAAAGCATATCAGTTTAAACGTAACCTATTTCAGCCAAGGGATAGGCTATTTCTAGCCCATATCTAACAAAATGATTCCCAAGAAGCCTCAAGCCTACTGATTCAATTAATCAAAGAAAACTTCTCAGGTTGAGATAGGCTTTATTTTAGACCCTGTTATCATTTCCCTTGATTCTAAAGAAGGCAGAATGAAGAACAGAATGAGTGGCACCTGGCTGGAAGAAAAGAAACCTATGTCTTATTCTGACTCTGTCAACAAGCTGTGTGTACTTTGGGCAAATTGTGTCCCCTCTCCTGTCTTCAAGTTATGGATTTAAAAAACCTAGAAATCGGGTGGAGAAGGAGGTGGGAGGGGGGATCGGGATGGGGAATACATGTAACTCCATGGCTGAATCACATCAGTGTATGACAAAACCCACTACAATATTGTAAAGTAATTAGCCTCCAACTAATAAAAATAAATGAAAAAAAAAAAAAACCTAGAAATTAGCTACATCAGTAATTCTCCAGAGTACATGTTTGAATACTGGATTAATATTCTGATATAATTTTATACTTGGAAAAACAAAAATAGCCATCATTTTAAAATAGCAAACTATATATTTTGATTGGTGGAGGACTACGGCAAATACAGTGACTATAAATGGAGCCTGTTCCTAACCGTCACTGCCTCTCAATTCCCAAGGAAATACACCGTTTAAGGAGCTCTAGGTATGTGTGCGTGTGTGGAATATATGAGTCTGAGCTATTTTGGTGTTTATCACAATGCAGAATAGAGTAATTAATTGAAGCACTGATTGTGTGATTCTGATCCTTTTACCATTCCAGATCTCAGTTTAAAATATCTCATTTGAAACGATAAAGATGATTATTAGGACTTTAAATATTGAGTTCTTTCTCAAGCACAAGGTATTTGTTCTCACTCCTCAACGGTCACTAGATAAATTATAGGAGAATATCTCAATTACATTCTGCATCATTTCTCTCCTGGATTTACAGGGTGGTGAATGTTATTGGTTATTAAACTCACAAGTCAATTTGCAAGTAATGAGATAATCGCTTTTCATGACAAAGGCCGAAGTTAATGGACCAACAATGGGGTAACTTCAGTTTGAAGTTATCATCAGGAATCTGGACATTTATAATACAATGTACTCTGTACAAGCTTCTTACATATGGGAAGACAGTTGGTACTTATTAACTTTAAAAAATGTGGCTTTGTCTTCTGATTTAATATTTTAAGTGGTTCACATTACTGACACAAAGTAGGTGCTCAATAAGTGCTTACTGAGTTAACAGATGAATGAATCAGTTGATTACAGTCGGTATTTTATACATGAGGGAACTGTGGCTTCCAGGGGCAGTCTGAAGTGGGGCTGAGACTCAGGTGTGTCTGCTGTCGACGCCCTGTTCTTCCTTGTCTCTTCACCCTCCCGGGTCTCAAGATCGATCCTTGACTTCCCAGAAGCACAGTACGTAGCACGTAGGCTCCATGTGGCTTGAGTTATTTTTAGCTAAAATCACCTTCAAGATTTGAGTTATATATCAAGCAAAAGTTTATAATCTACAAAGATATCTGTAGAGATGACAGGACAGTGAAGCAAGCAAGACGAAAAAGAAGTAAAATAAGTAGATTAATATTGATCATCTCAGTTGGAGCCCTAGGAGTGGCTTGTCATCCCTCTCAATTCCATCACACCTCTGCTTTTAAAGCTTAGTGGTGTTCTTCTGCAAGATGAATCCTTTTATGAACAGCATGTAACTACAAATATTGAGGATGGTGTTGGCAACAAAACAATAAAAGCAAAATTAATCTATTAAATACAAGGGCAAGAAACTGAATTCTTGAAATAAAGTAATACCTTTCATGAGCAGGCTTACACTTCATTGGCAACCTGACAGCAGCTTCTCCTAAGGTTTCATGAAAATCAACCCTCCTCCATTCCCAGATGTAGAACATTTCAATGGCTTTAATTATTACTCAAAGGCTGTAATAGAAATAAATTACTGGGTTTGAAGAAGAAATATGCGAGCTTATGAAGGAAATAAGTCCTACCTGATAATCCAGTTAGTTAGGAGATAAAACATCACTCTCATCCCATCTCATTTCTCACCATTTGCCATTTTCTGGCAAAACACACACACACACACACACACACACACACACACATGTGGTCTGTGTGTCAGCAGTAAAGAATCCACCTGCACTGCAAGAGATGCAGGTTCGATCCCTGGGTCGGGAAGATCCCCTGGAGGAGAAGTGTCAATCTACTTCAGTATTCTTGCCTGGAAAATACCATGGACAGAGGAGCCTGGCGGGCTACAGTCCACAGGGTCACAAAAGAATTGGACGTGACTGAGCAACTAAACAACAATAACAACACACGTTCATACATAAATCACAGAACTACTTTTTAGTTGCTCAGAAACTGATTTTCTGGTGCTGAATGCAATGTAGTATTAAATAACATTTAGAAAATAGACACATAAGTAATTCAACAAAACCAACAAGAATGCAATGATTCAGAGATAACCACTGTTAGAATGTTAGACTCAACAGAAATTTGGGCAACAAATATAGATAAGCAATTCACAGAAGAGAAAAAATTCAGTAAGTATTAAAAACATAATGAAATGTACTCAGTCCCACTGGTTGTTCAGGAAATTGAAAACAAAACAATGCAACAAATATAAAAGCTAACATGAGAGATACAGCTGAAGAAAGTACCAAAGAAGAGAAACATAAAATCAAGGAAATTACCCAGAAGGTAGCATACACGTAGTGAAGAAATAGAACACATGTAAAACCCCTCTCCAGAAAATATGAAAAATATGCCCTCTTTTTCTCATGCTTTCCTTTCATGTACCTTCTCTGAATGATGTATCTGTAAAGCCATCGGTTTAGACAGAGCAACTAGACAGTAGTGAGGAGTGCTGCGTGGAGCGTCAGAACAAGAGCCAGGCGAGGTGGGGGTCCACGCAGGACGAGAGGGGGGATACTGACACTGAGATCCCAAGCGGGTTCAGGGAGGCAAACCTGCTGAGGAGTGGCTCAGTGTGGAGTGTCGGAACCTGAGCAAAGTAAGGTCTTCTTTGCAAGAGGCACTTGATGAAGAGGAGACTTGTCAAAGAGAGTCAGACCAAAGCAGGGTGAAGAGGAACAGCCTGTGTTGAGAACGGCCTATACTAGAGAATACATGTGCACAGACATATCTCGTGTATCTCTAAATGGGAGATAGCTGCATTTAGGTGAAAATTTTAAATGGCAGAATAACGTGAATATGATATTACTTTTGTAAAAGACTGATGTCTAACAGAATATCATTAGCCCTAAGCATTTGTGCATATGAGCATATACACTTGTTCTGCAGGAAAATAAATGAGTTAATGCACATCAATTTGTTAATGTATTATCTTGGGAGACAGAAATGAAAATGTTATGGATAAGATCATTAATTTTTAAATACAATTTTACATTGTTTTATTGGTTCAGAAGAGGGTATGTTACTTTCTTAATACAAAAAAGAGAAAATAAGAAAATCTGTAAATACTTTATGTCTACTGGGGACATTTAAAAATGTTTAGTTTACAAAGTGTGTTCCAGGGAATTATATTTGATGGTAAATTTAAAGAATTCTCCTTCCAAATAAGTTTGTGAATCTGGGGTAAAAAAAAAAAAAAAAACAGCATTTTTTTCACTAAATTATTTATCATATGATTTAATTTTACTTGTGATGTGAATTTCTGAGATGACTGCTTCACTCATAGAATTGCTTGAATATTTTGACAAGCTGGAATATCTCAAGAACCACTGCTTCATAAAGTCAATTTTCTGAAATAACTTGCTATTCCAACTCCCAAGACATTACCATTCTCAAGACCAATTCTTTTTAATAGTTTTGCTACCATTTTTACATAGTGTAGATCATACGGTACACAAAATTTTTACTTCCTTTTCCTTTGTAATGCTATATTGTTTTGCCATTGGAGAGATTTTCATGGAATTCCAACATTAATGTTTATGCAAAATGTAACCAACAGAATCCTAAAATCACAATCCTAAATATAATTAATCTGTAAATCATGTGTGTATAATTCACACTAAAAGATTTAAAGGGACTGACCAGAGATGGTGGATGTCTGGAGACAGGTGGAAAGCCTTCATGCAGAAAAGGAATTTGAAAATACAAGATCAAGGCAGCTCTGGTCACAATGAAAGGACGTAAGAAATGAGCTCAGGATACAGACCCTAGCTTCTATTAAGAGAGTAATCCAACTGATTAATATAGGAGATCACAAAGACTTGAGGATGAGATGTAGTTCTACAGAATTCAACAATAATTCTGTTGTCGTTCAGTCACTAAGTCGTGTCCAGCTCTCTGCAAGTCCATGGACTGCAGCCCACCGAGCTTCTCTGTCCATGGGATTTCCCAGGCAAGAATACTGGAGTGGGTTGCCATTTGCTTCTCCAGGGAATCTTCCCAACTCAGGGGTCAAACCCTTGTCTCCTGCACTGGCAGGCAGATTCTTTACCACTGAGCCACCGGAGAAGCCCACAGAATTCTGCAGAAGGAAGCAACATCTGTCCGTATGTAGCTAGATCTGGACTATGGTAACTGAGACCTATAATAAAAAGATTTATGTTTCCAAATACAGTGAGCTGTCTTCACTGTTCCATAACAAATCCTTTATTCATAGAAATGGTTATCCCCTGAAAAGAAAACTGAAAGCCTGTCATAGTCTGTTCAGGCTGCTATGGAGGAATACCGTAGACTGGGTGGTTTAAACAGCTGACATTCTTTTCTCATAGTTCTGAAGGCTCGGAAGTCTAATATCAAGAAGCTTACAGATCGTCTAGTGAAAGCCTGCTTCAGGATTCTTGCCGTATCCTCACATGGCAGAGAGCAGAGAGCAAGGCCAAGCTCTCCTGTCTCTTCATACGAGGAAACCAATACCCCTGATAAGGGCCCCACCCTCATGACCTAATGACCTCCCAAAGTCCCCACCTCCTAATGCCATCACGTCGGGAGATAGCATATGGATGTTGGGGCAGGACACATGTAATAAAGCTACTCTGATAATTTATCTGGAAGCTGCATAAACTCTTAAGTGAGTAATAATAAATACTAACATCTTTAAAGTTGTTTACTAATCTCACTTACATCCATTATCTAATTTCATCCAACTTACCCTACCTGTGACAGTTAGCTATCATTGTCTTAATGTTATAAAGAAATTAAGATTCAAAGAGTTGGAGTGATTGCCCAAAGTCACAAAGTTAATTAGTGAGAGAGCTGGGATTTACATCCAGATGTTTCGTAGTAAGTTCCTTCTGTTGTTCCATATATTTTTTCTCCAATATTAGGCACTTGATAAAAAACAAAATATAGTAGTATGTTTAACTTGTTGCCTATCCATTCTTGATTTTGTTTAAATTTGTTTTGTAGTCAGAGTATCTCTTCAGGTAATTTCTTTCAAAAAAATACACAGGTGGCATATCTCTATGTTTTTGCACATCTGAGAATATGTTTTCATTGTCACATACTTGAAAGATAACTGGGATGTGTATAAAGACTTTGAATCCAAACCTCTTCCATTGAAGTCTATCAGTTGTCACTCCTTACATCCTAACTTCTGATATAATGAAGTCTAAGCCAGACTGACTTGAGTCTGTGTGTGTGTGTGTGTGTGTGTGTGTGTGTGTGTGTGTGTGGCTGCGTGGCTGTGTGTCTCTGCCCGCCCCGTCTCACTCGCACCACCCTGAGGCACACACCCCACGCATACACACACACGCACACACACAGCACAACACACTGCCCCAGATGCGCCACGCCACACGCCACACCACACCACACCCACTGTGTGTGTGTGTATTCCTGTTCCTCGTTTGCTTTCTCCTTCCCTTCCTCATCGTCCCTCTGCCCCTCCCCTCCCTCCACCTTCACGGGACAGCAGTGCCTTTAGATGAGTCTGCCTGTGGTTAATACACCCTTGACATGAAGATTTCTGCAGTCTGACCTGTGGGGGGGGAGGGGGAAGAGGGGCAGGACTGTCAACTTAGGAGGTCCGGTTAACTAGCGCACACATATAAACGGCACATCAAGACAATCAACAAGCACCATCAAAGTGCTTACAGTGCAGGTAGTAAGAAAACAAAACAAAAACAAAAAACAGGCACCCACTATGCAGCCCAGGAGAGTAGGCTTATGACTTTGCATTAACCTCTCAGGGAAAAGAATCTGAAAACCTGAAACGAACATGACTTTGTAAACCCACTCGATACTTCATTTCTGCCATGAGGGTGGTGTCATTTGCATATCTGAGGGGATTGGTATTTCTCCGGGTGCCGGGTGCCGGGAGCCGACACACGGAGACCCTACCCTGACCCTAAAAAGGCCATAGGGGAGAAAACCTGATGGGCAAGGCGAATCAGGTTTTCAGGGGTTTTCGAAAAAGTCAGCTCACGAGACCCTACCCCTAACAAGGCCGTGAGGGAGAAAACCTGACGGGCAAGGCGAATCAGGTTTTCAGGNTTCGTTTGCTATTATTTTCTCCCAATCTGAGGGCTGTCTTTTCACCTTGCTTATAGTTTCCTTTCTTGTGCAAAAGCTTTTAAGTTTAATTAAGTCCCATTTGTTTATTTTTGCTTTTATTTCCAATATTCTTGGAGGTGGGTCATAGAGGATCTTGCTGTGATTTATGTTGGAGAGTGTTTTGCCTATGTTCTCCTCTAGGAGTTTTATAGTTTCTGGTCTTACATTTAGATCTTCAATCCATTTTGAGTTTATTTTTGTGTATGGTGTTTGAAATTTAAATAGGAAGGGAAAGCAAGATCTTACCAAGACGGAAAACTAAAAGTGTTAGTTGCTCAGTCTTGCCCGACTGTTTGCGACCCCACAGACTATAACTCACCAGGCTCCTCTGTCCGTGGGATTTTCCAGGCAAGAGTCCTGAAGTGGGTAATCATTCCCTTCTCCAGGGGATTTTC